GCCCAGCACAGGGATGTGGAGGAACCACGGGGGATGCTTGGCGGAGCCTGTACGTTGGATGGGGGCCAAGTTCATTCTGTTCATTCACAAAAAGCTTGTACCGTGTCTTCTGTGAGCCGGGCTGTGCGGGGGCTGCGTGCAGGCAGAGCCCCAGCCCCGTGCGTGTGCGCACACAGGGAGCAGCAGACACCGCCCCCCGCCCCCCCCCATGAGTAACTGGAGGGGCGTGGCCTGGAGAGAAGGAGTGGAGCGCCAGGCTGCAGAGAGCAGTTCGAGGAAGACCTGAGATCGAGTTCCTACGCAGGAGGCTCCGGGCGCTGGGGTGGCTTCTGTCTCCTGGTGGCACAAGTGCCCACTGACGTCTCCTTGATGATGAACAGCAGGCAGGTGGGGGCCACGGTGTGGACTTGAGGTCTGTCCACAGCCAGGACTCAGCGCCGGCGCGGCTCCTTCCCAGGAGGCATGGGACTTCATCACCCGCTGCGGGGCACCCCACCCACTGCGGGGACCCCTATCACCCACCGGTGTGTCCTACATGCCATCCATCTGTGTGTCCTCGGGGGTTCCCGCTCAGTGCCGGGTGTGCTCAGCTGCAGCCACTGGCCTGGGCGTGGGGGACCTCTGGGGGGCCTTGCTTCTGTCCCTGGAGAGCGGCCAGTTTTGAGCCCAGAGGTCACGTGCAACCATATGTCTCTCGGGGAGCAAGAGCGAGGGCTGGTCAGGTGGCACTGGAGGAGCCCCGTGGGAGGTGACGGGGGCAGGGTCAAGCACCACCCGGGGTTGGGGGAGCAGCCGGTTCCAGATGGGCTCAGCCGTGAGGTCCCTGCAGGCCTGGCCTCCAAGACACTGTGTGCAGGTGCGCACTGGGGCAGGCGTGTGGTGGTTCCTGGGGCCAGGGATCCAGTCGCAGGCCTGTGTCCTGGCTTCCGGGCACTGAGTGACCACAGATCCGGGAGTGGCTCAGGTGGCCTGGGAGACAGGGCATCTGGAAGACGGACCTGGGTTGCTTTGGCCCCAGCTCAGCCTTGCTCGTAGCCTGGTCCCCTGCGTCCACCCCCCGACACTGTGGTGGCCCAGCGCCTCCCGGGCAGTGGCCTGGCCTGTCCACGGCAGAGGGCCCTGCTGGCTCCTGCCTGCCACGCCGCCACGCCTGGCCTTGGAGGCCTCCTGCTGTTGACGTAGGCCCAGAACGTACGCCACACATGATATGTGGTACTTTTCTCCGAGGTCCTCCCCTCTCAGCAGCCGCCACCTCTGGTCCCTCCTTTCTCCATCCTTCCTGGCAAAGTGGTGGCTGCTGGGGGCAGGGTCACCGATAGCCCGTTTCCCAGGCAGACAGAGTCTGTCGGCCATGCCGGCCCCTTTGGCGTCTTTCTTCCCCTTGGCGTTGTTGACATGAGTGACGTTGATTCTGAGTAGATTTAAGGCGAATAACCTGACGAGCTGATGCACTCACGCACCACGAGATGATTCCGCGGTTAGTGTAGTTAGCACATCATCTCGCCGTTAGGTTCGTGAACACACCATCTCCCATCATTTTCATGTGCTTTGTTCCTTCTGGAGGTTGATCGTGGCCTCTGTCTTGGCTGTGGCTACTCTGCCGTGCAGGGGTCGTTTGCAGACGGGACAGCAGTGTTAGGTAGGGACCGTGTGACCTCAGCCGTGCACGTTGTCCAGTGCCCTGACCCCTCCGGGGGCTGATGGTATGTTTCAGGCTTCCTTGACATCCTGCTTGTGTCTCGCTTTTAGGGGAGTGTCCCAGCCACCCCCCCTGTTCTCCCTTCGCCCAGCTTCTTACCAGATGTGAGGCTGCTCTCCGGGCCCCCTCACCTCCTGTGGCCCCTCACCACCCCGCTTCCGGGGCCCACAGCAGTGTGTCGTGCTGTTTGGCACAGCCGAATGTGCGGGGGAGGCGTGTGCATATGTGTGCGCTTGTGTTCATGTGCGAGTGTGCACACGTGTGTGTGTGAGACCCCTTCCGCATGCGTACGCAGCCTCTGGAGGCTCCACGGAGGGCTGCTTCCCTCTTTTGCCTTCGTTTTTATTTTTACTGTAATTTTAATTAAATCTTTAAAAATTTTCTCTTAAAAAATTTTTTAAAAATGTTTGTTTAGTTTTGAGAGAGAGGCAGAGTGCAAGTGGGGGAGGGGCAAAGAGAGTGGGAGACAGAATCCGAAGCAGGTTCCAGGCTCTGAGCGGTCAGCACAGAGCCCAATGCAGGGCTCGAACCCACGAACCGTGAGATCATGACCTGAGCCGAAGTCAGACGTGTAGCTGACTGAGCCATGCAGGTGCCCCTCTTTCAATTTTGTTTTTAATTCGCTTTTTTTTAAGTCTATTTATTTTGAGAGGGAGAGCAAGAGCGCTCAAGCAGGATAAGGGCAGAGAGAGTGAGAGAGAATTCTAAGCAGACTCTGCTATCAGTGCAGAGCCTGATGTGGGGGTTGAATTCATGAACTGTGGGATCATGACCTGAGCCGAAATGAAGAGTTGGACTCTTAGCCGACTGAGCCCCCCACACGCCCCTTGCCTTCATTTTGAAGGAGCCGGTGTGAGGTGGTCCTCGCCTGCATGCTGGGGCGCCTCCAGACCCCCACTCGGTCCCCCCTTGCGGGGTCCGCGGCACCCCCGTCCGTAGTTCCCACGTGCGCTGCACTCAGGGCGTGCCTCGTGGCCTCTGGTGGCACTTGCCTCGTCTGCAGTCGGGCGACCTGCGGGGCTGCCGCCGCGGCTGCAGCTTTGACGCGGGCACCTGTTTGGCTGCTTCCTGGGAGCCACCTTCCCCGGGGACCAGCAGGGGCAGCCCCCCTCCTGTTTTGTCAGAGATTGGGCTTCTCAGGGCAGTCCTGCCCCCTAGGGGTCCCCGGGCCAGCCGGGCAAGTCTGTGGCTGTCACCCTGGGGGGCCCCTGCCATCCGAGGGAGTGGGGCCTGGGGTGCTGCACGACTCCCACAGCGCCCGCGTTGCCCCCCAGAGTGACTCTGCTTGGTGTCGGCAGTGCCGAGGGGGACAGAGCCGGCCCGGCCCGGAGGAAGGTGCACAGGCGCATTCCTGGCCCCTCCCCGCAGCGTGTGGTGAGGGAGGGGCAGTGTGGGGCCCCCCGGGGGGGGGGCCTCCTGTCACTTTCCCAGATGAGGGGAGGTGTTTGAAGGAGGGTGGCGGTTAGGTAATTTCCTGATGTCCCGCCCAGAGACATTGTACTCACTCCGCCAAGGACTCCAGGCCGTTGATGGAAGCACTGCAGAGGCATCGCGGCCAAGGCCCAGCTCCAGGCGTCTGGTTTGGGGCTCGGGTCTCCCGAGTGCGGTCAGTCACTCAGATAGTGGCTCGGGGTCTCCTGGCCGCAGGACAGTGCAGACACTCGGGACCGAGGCTCCCTGGCCACGGACACCTGCAGAGAGAGTCCCCACGTGGGCCGCGGCCACAGCTCTGCGTGCAGGGAGGACCGCGTCACGGGGGCCACAGCACGGGCAGTGCGTGGGCACGGGCAGACGCGGGGCCGACTCAGACAGTGGTGAAAATAAGCCTGAGCAGCATGTGGGCGAGCCTGGGGGACCCTGAGCTCCCAGACCGAGGGGCCTTGGTCTGTGAGTGGGCGCCTGCGGACGGCCATCAGGCAACGATGGCAGGTGTTGTGCTCTGAGAAGATGCAGGTGTCTGTGCTGTGTGATAGTGTCACTCCCGGACTTACTCCCTGGGGGGCTGGGGGCTGGGCGCCCCGGCTCGGGGTCCCTCGTGGGGCTCAGGTGGTTCCGGCCACCACCCCTCCGGCGCCCTCCCCCGGCGCTGCTCGAGTGTCCTCGGTGTGGCAGCTGACCCTTCCCCTCCCCTTGGCCAGTGGTGCCGGGTCGTGCGGGTCTTGTCTCGGAAGTGACGCACCGTCATCTGTCCTCTGTTGGCTGGAAGTGAGTCGTGGAGTCCAGCCCGTGCTCGCCGCCAGGGCCTCGGTCTCCCCCTCGGGGAGGGGGCGTGGTGGAGGTCGTGGGCACTAACAACCTCTGCAGTTACCGGTCCAGAGTGTGGGGTGCCCCCTGCCCCAGGGGTGCAAGCGTGACACGGTGGGGGCACCACGGGCTGTGTCGTGTTGCAGCGAGGTCAGGATGTGCTGCTGTGGACTCCGTGGGACCGGGATGAGGGCGCGGCGGCCACGTGGCCCCTATCCAGCTGACTTTCTGATCCTTTTGATCCTTTGAGGCTGAGGTGGGGGTCAGCATGTGCCCGGGAAGAGGCTGGTGAGCCCCGCACCCCCTCACGTTTACGGAGAAGGGAGACTCGAGCGCTGATGTCGTGTGTGCCTGCGCAGCGGGTGGGGAGAAGGGAGCAGGCACCGGGTTTGGAGGAGGGGGGGTTCTGGGTGAGCTTGGAATGCTCAGCAGGTGGCGTGACGCTGGGTGTGCTTTTGAGTTCAGGGCTCGCGGGGAAGGTGCTTTTGGGGACTGTTGTGGGGATGGATTCAGTCCTTAGTGTCCGGGCCCCTGTGCAGATGCCAGACTCCTGCCCCAGAGGAAGGCTGGCTCTGGTAGGGCTCCTGGAAGAGGGGCGTGGTTGGGGGTCCACGGAGATGTTGCCACATGGCACTCAGTGTCCACGGTGGGCGTGGAAGGCCCCGGGGGCTGGTTGGAGGAGTAGCAGTTCGTCCCCCAGGGATCCAGGGCAGCGGCAGGTGGTAGGGACGCGGCCTGTGCCCCACAGGCAGCCTGTGGAGCGTCAGGCCCAGCGCACCCAGCCAGCCGCAGGGGCCAGTCACCTCTGTTGTGTGGCCCGACACCCGTGGTAGCCGCGCGAGTCGTACCTCGGCGCCCTGCGCGCCGCAGACGCTGCCCCCCAGCCTCAGGTTCCCACTGCGGAGCAGGGTCATTTGCCTGGGGACGCGACGGAGGTAAAACGGGGGACAAGCCTCCCAGACTGGCGGGCGCGTCCCACACCTCCTGGGAGCGCCGAGCCCTTGGGCCCCTCTGCCGGGCAGGCCTCCGGCCTGATTTCACGCACCCTGCCCCGCAGGCACGGGCGAGAGCGGGAAGAGCACGTTCATCAAGCAGATGCGCATCATCCACGGGGCGGGCTACTCGGAGGAGGACAAGCGTGGCTTCACCAAGCTCGTGTACCAGAACGTCTTCACCGCCATGCAGGCCATGATCCGCGCCATGGACACGCTCAAGATCCTGTACAAGTACGAGCAGAACAAGGTGAGGCGCGGGGCGCGTCCGGCGCGGCTCACCCCTGCGTCCTTGCCGGCGTCCGTGTGTGCCTGCCTGCGCGGGCGCGTGGCAGCCGTCAGCGCCCCTGACCTAGGCGCGGGGGCTGGCCTGGGCACGCGCCCCCCAGCACCCTGTGTTGTGCTCCGGGTGGTCCCAAGGGTCAGGGGCCCTTCCCTTCCTTTCTATTTTTTCAAGCTTATTTATTTTGAGAGAGAGAGAGAGTGGGTGAGTGAATGCACCTATGAGCATGGGAGGGGCAGAGAGAGAGGGACAGAGTCTCAAGCAGCCTCCACGCTGTCAGCACAGAGCCCGACACGGGGCTCGAACCCACGAGCTGTGAGATCATGACCTGAGCCAGAATCAAGAGTTGGATGCCTAACCGACAGCCACCCAGGCGCCCCTTCTTCCTTTTTGTTTTTTTTTAATGTTTATTTATTTTGAGAGAGAGAGAGAGAAACAGAGCAAGATCAGGGGAAGGGGCGGAGAGAGACACACGCACAGAATCGGAAACAGGCTCCAGGCTCTGAGCTGTCAGCACAGCTTCTCCCCACAAAGAAGCCCGTCTGCATCAGCCGTCGTCCCCGCTGAACCCCTGCCCGCCCCCACGAGCCGCTTCCCGTCCGTGGAAGAGCCTGTTCTGGACGTGTCACGCACGTGGACTCACACCCCGCGTGGCCTCTCATGTCGGGTTCCCACCCTGAGCGTCGTGTGTTCAGGGTCTGTCTGCGGGGCGGCGGGTGGGGGCGCCTCGCTCCCGCTCGTGGCCGAGGGACGTGCGCCTGCGCAGTTGATGTACCTGAGGTGCGTGTGCGTGCACATCGGACACGCCAGGTGTATCCACTCGACACTTAACGGACTCTTGTATTGTTTCGACTTTTTGGCTCTTGTGAATTCTGCTGGTGTGATGTTCGTGTTCAGGTTTCCATTTGCACGCCTGTTCTCATCTCTCGGGGTCGTGTCCCCAGGCGTGGAGATTGGGGTCACGGGGCAGCTCGGGGTCTGCCCCCGGGAGCTGCCGGCCCGCTCAGTGGGTTCTCGCTGGTGGCCTCCCTCTGCCTCCCTTGGCTTTGCTTCTCTAGGTACGGTTTTGGAATCTGCCTTTCCACGCGCGGGTTTGCCCCGGGCTGACACGAGGCGCTCCGCTCTGTGGTTTATTCATTCTTTTGCTTTGAAGCTGAAGAAGGTCACTCACCCGGGTTGCTGATGTATCTCCGATGGGTGCCTTCCTCCCTTTACCCCAGTTCACAGATGATCAGGGTTTGGGGGGTCCCTGCCATCCTGGCTATGAGCCAGGCGCACAGGGCCTGCTGGAGCGTCTTGTCCCCCGGGTCTGGGTTTGTGTGATCTGCACAGCCGAGGCCCCTCCAGCGTCCACACCGTATGTCCCGCCCGTGTAGCTTCGGGCCGTAGGTGTCCATCGGCATCTGGAGCGGGGGCCGCCAGCTACGGCCTGTTTCCAGAGACAGTTTTACTGGTACTCGTCCCGCCTGCTCATTTACACGGAGTCCCCTCGATGGCTCTCGCCACAGTGGCCGGGCCAGTGCTCTCCTCTGGGCTTCTACAAAGCAGGCCGCCGGCCCCGATCTCCACGCACAGCCAGTGCATTTTCTGGGGCCGGTGTCTGCTTCTCCAGGCCCCGACCAAGAGGCGGGTGACGGCTGGCGCCCCGGCGGGGGGACCGGGGAGCATCACGTGCAGGGGACAGGTCCAGGAGGAGCCTGCTGGCTTTCGGCTCCCTTGTTGCCCATTGTGAGAGCTGCTCAGGCGTGCCCTCCCCGGTGCCTCAGCTGAGAGCCGGGTGTGTCGGCCTGACCTCCCTGAGGACAGGCACGTGGACTGGGCTGGAGGAGTGGGGTCTCCTGAGCCACCTGCCTCACTGTGTGCGTGTCTGTGCGTGTGTGCACACACGTGTGGGGGGCATCCTCAGGGCCTGGTTCCCCGGGAGCGGCTCCCCGCGTCCTGCGGGTCAGGCTGCGTTGTGGCCCGTCGTAGTTGTAAGTGATGAAACCAGTTGCCACGGTGACTAGCTCAGCCTCTGGTCCTACCCCGCCCCCCCCCCACTGGTTCCCCGGCCCACACGGCCCCCCCCAGCCCGCTGTGTGCCCAGAAGGGGGTGCAGACCAAAGAGCAGCTGCCTGACTCTGTTCCCTCGCCTGTGACACGGGCGCGTGGCAGCTGCTGGTGGCAGTGCCCCTTCCGTTGTCCCTTTGGTCCTCGGTCCCTTCGGTGGAGTTTGCTGGTGCGTCCGCGGTGTCTTCTGGTCCCTCCCGCTGCCCCGCGGAGCAGCGACCTGACCCGGGGCCACTCTGCAGCCCCAGGCTCTTCTCTGGCGACCGCGCACCGGGGCACGGCCACTGCCACCAGCCCTTGCCCCTGCCCGACGCCTGTTTGTGCTTAACTGGGTGCCGGGCCCGCCTGGGTCGGGCGCCCTGCGGGGGCAGGCCGCTCACCAGCCCTCGCTCTCCCTGCCCGCAGGCCAACGCGCTCCTGATCCGCGAGGTCGATGTGGAGAAGGTGACGACGTTTGAGCACCGGTATGTCCACGCCATCAAGACCCTGTGGGATGACCCTGGCATCCAGGAGTGCTACGACCGGAGGCGCGAGTATCAGCTCTCGGACTCCGCCAAGTAGTGAGTAGGGCGCTGCCCCTCGGGTCCCAGCCGGGGCTGCACGGGGGGTGCCGAGCGAACGCCAGCTTGCTGCTTGTGACCCGTGGGCCACGCTGGCGAGAGGTGGTCACTGCAGGCAGCCTGGCTGTGCCCAGGCGTCCGTGGCAGCTGGCTTTCTGGGAACCTGTCACTGTGCTAGAACGAGAAGGTTGATTTTGGAAAGTTCTCTGTCCTCGTGTGGCCTGGGGAGAGAGCCCCTCAGAGCTGGCTCAGGTCCTGCGGCTCCCCTGTCCCATGAGGCCCAGGGCGGGGCTGCCACACCCCCGCTAGTGAGGGCTGCTGGGGTGCCCGTGGTGGCCGGGCTGTCCCCCACCCCTCGCACGCTACAACCTGGCCCCTGCCGTGTTGCAGCTACCTGGCTGACGTGGACCGCATCGCCACCTCGGGCTACCTGCCCACCCAGCAGGACGTGCTGCGGGTCCGAGTGCCCACCACCGGCATCATCGAGTACCCTTTCGACCTGGAGAACATCATCTTCAGGTACCTGCACCCCGGTTCTCCGGGGGTGGCGGCCAGGCTGCCTGGGGCTCTGTGACCTGCAGGGCAGGCCCACGCTCCTGCTGTGGGGACAGCGGGATTCACCAGGTCCCGCCCTTTGTTCTCAGGGGGCTTCTGACCCAGATGTGAGATAAGGCTTATAAATGACTGTCACCAAGTTGCCCAGCGAGTGAGCCATGTCCCAGTAGTGGTGCAGGTGGTGGCCGAGCCAGCCAGAGACGGCTGGAGGGGAGTCCCCTCTGTGATGGGGCCGCAGACAAGGGAGGGTGATCTGGACTTCCCGCCAGGCCTGGATGTGTTGTGGGGCAGTGGGGGCTTCCTGACGGCCCCGGGGACCCGCGCGGAGCTGGGTGACAGGCGGGTCCTGAGCTCTGGCTCTCGGGCCCACCGTGGCGCATGGCGGAAGTTGGGGGCAGTGGTTCTCCACTGGGGCCCAGTCCCGCGCGGCAGCGTGTGCGGCCAGAGTGGACTTGGAGCCGTCCTTGAGGACCTGGGCCCGCCTCGTAGGCAGGTCACGGCTGGTGGAGAGTCGCTAAGCGGCAAGGACGAGGGCCAGTGTGCACCTGCTGGGCGGCTGCAGCAGGAGCACCTGGCTCTGGAGGCGGAGCTGGTCCCGGCGGGTGGGGCTGCTTCCTTCCGAGGCCGTGAGGGTCTGTTCCACGTGGCTCCCGGCTCCTGGGGGGGGTCACCGGCCATCGTTGGCACCCCCCCCCCCGGCTTGCAGGCGCGCCGCCCCATTTCCTCCTCCGTGCTCATGCAGCCTCTCCCTGGGTGTCTGCGGCCAGCTGTCCCTCTTCCTGTAAAGACAGCGGTGACTGGAGTAGGTAGGGCCATCCTGCTCGGGCGCAGTCTCCTCGCTGGTGACCTCGGCAGTGGCGCTGCTCCCACGGCGGGTCCCTGCCTGGTTCTGGGTGCGCTGGGTTTGGAGGACATTCAGCCCAGTGCCTTGAGGCATGGGGTAGGGTGGGGTGGGGTGGGGTGTTGTACGCAGCAGGGAAGGAGCCGCCTCCCCTCCCCTCCCCCTTGGGGGCCCAAAGAGGCAGTCAGCTGTGGCGTTGTCCCCAGCCGTCGTGCCCTGCCCTGTGGCCTCGAAGCGCTAGCTCTGACTCTTGGCCTTCACCCCTGCCTGCCGTCCACACCCTCTCTTACCTGCTGGGCCTCTGTCGGAAGCCCTCCCGGGTCCCCGGAACCTTCAGAAGCTATGGGCCTCCACCCGTGGGCACGTGTCCGACCGCCTGTTTTCCTGGTGACAGTTTTATTTCAGTTAGAACCTGGATGGGGCCGTGACCTCACATTCAGAGCTTAGGTCTCCAGAGCACAGGCTGCGGCTTGATGAGGGTTCCCCCGAGCTCCCGAGGGCCTGCCAGCCCTGGCGGATGCGGGGCCCTCACAGCCTGGCGATGGCTGCAGACGCCGCGCTGAGCCCGCCGGGCGCCTGTCTCCCGCAGGATGGTGGACGTGGGGGGCCAGCGGTCAGAGCGGAGGAAGTGGATCCACTGCTTCGAGAACGTGACGTCCATCATGTTCCTCGTAGCCCTGAGCGAATACGACCAAGTGCTGGTGGAGTCGGACAACGAGGTGGGGCCCCTCCCTCCGCGCTCCCCATGGTCCCGCCCCGCCCCGCGGCCCCGCCCCGCCCACGCTCACTCCCCGCTTTCCACAGAACCGCATGGAGGAGAGCAAAGCCCTGTTCCGGACCATCATCACGTACCCCTGGTTCCAGAACTCCTCGGTCATCCTGTTCCTCAACAAGAAGGACCTGCTGGAGGATAAGATCCTGCACTCGCACCTGGTGGACTACTTTCCTGAGTTCGACGGTGAGCTGCTCCCCGTGCCCCGACCCTCTGCCGCCTGCGCCCCTGCGCCCGCACCCCTCTGCCCGCCCCGGGCCTCCGTGTCTGCCATGTGGGGACGGCGTGGGCGAGCTCCCAGGCGCCCACCCAGCACCCAGCACAGCCCCAGTGGGGGAGCGAGGCGCTGGGAGCGAAGGGGGGACCCGGAGAGCGCCCGGGGCCCAGCAGACGGCGGCAGCACGGAGCGCAGACCGCCCCCACCCCCCCTTTCGGCACCCCTGCTGTGTGCCGCAGGACAGGGAGATGACACAGGACACGGGGCCTGGCCACCCCCTCCCCAGTGGCTTTGTCCGGGCTGGTGGAGTACTGTCGCATGGCTGTGGGCCGACAGCCGGGAGGGCAGCTGTGCAAGTGTGCACACGTGTGCAAGGGCGTGTAGGGCTGTGTGTGTGCGTGCGGGCACGTGCCTCTGGATGGGGGTGTGTCGGGGACGGTGGGTGCAGTTCGGAGATGGTGGGGTGTCTATCGTGGGCAGCAGCCGACTGCGAAGCGGAGGGGTGACCCGCGTGGAGGCCGGCAGGAGGCGGTGGCAGCTCGGGTCCTAGGGCGTCCACCCCGGGCCCTCGTAGGAACAGGGAGGAGGCGGTGCCTCTGTATGTGCCCAGTGGGGGGGTGGCAGGGATGGGGGGGCACGGTACGCGGCAGGGAATGTGCTGTGGGGGGGGCGGTGCGGGCTCACCCGCCTCTGCCCCCCCACCCCCCCAGGGCCACAGCGGGACGCCCAGGCCGCCCGGGAGTTCATCCTCAAGATGTTCGTGGACCTGAACCCCGACAGCGACAAGATCATCTACTCGCACTTCACGTGCGCCACCGACACGGAGAACATCCGCTTCGTGTTCGCGGCCGTCAAGGACACCATCCTGCAGCTCAACCTGAAGGAGTACAACCTGGTGTGACGCCCGGCCGCCCGACGGGGGGGGGCCCCAGGCGGGCCCTTCCTGGGGGCGCGTGCCCGGCCGGCTGCCCCGGCTCCGCCCGCAGACCGGTTGATTTCGTTTTCATATTTTTAACAAATGGTTTTTATTTCACAGTTATCAGGGGACGTACGTCTTTCTTTCTTACACCCCGTGCACCTTCTCCCCTGTGTCCGCGGCAAGGCCGCTTTTTCCTGGCCTTGACTCGGGGCTCGCTTTTTTCTAAAAAATAAAAAAAAAAAATAAGAAGAAAAAAAGAAAAAAAAAGGAAAAAGAAGAACGGATGGAGACGACGAGTGGAGACGAGCGGCCCCGGGCCGGCGGCTCCCGGCGGTCACGCAGGGACAGAGCCACCCGCCGGCCTCGGCCTCCGCGGCTTGCCCTCCCCTAGTCCCTTGCTCCCTTCCCTCACAGGCGCAGCGGCGGGGCCTGGGGACTGTGACTTCTCTCTCTTTCTCTTCCTAAGTTATTGACACCCTGGACTCCAAGAAGTGGGGGTGGGTGGCGCCCCCCGCTGCCCGCCCTGGGAAGTGCCTAACCTTTTTTTTTTTTTTTCTCGGTGAGGAAGGAAAATGCGGTGTGCCTGCCCTTTGGTCCAGGAGACGGCCTGGCCCGGCTCTCAGCCCCCCGCCCCTCCACGACCTCTGGGGGCCCTCCTGGGGCCCTGCAGGCTGCCGTCCAGACACCCCCAGAGGGTCGTCCTCTGGCCCTGGCCAGGGGCACCCAGCTGCGTCCAGGTGGCCCGGAGGAGGCCCCCCTGGGTTGAGAGTCACTTTTGATTTCTGTCTTGAAAGCAGTTTGGAAACAGTGAGGGTGGGGTGGGGACTTTTTCCAGAATCTTCTCAGGTCTGTCCCCGGGAGGAAGGGAGGGGGGAGTCGCCTCCAGCGGTAGTGCCCCAACCTCCCCCCGCGTCTGCCCCGAGCCCTGCCCGGGGAAGCGAGCACGCAGAACGAGCACTTTGCCCAGAGCCATCGAGGGCCGGGGGCCGGGCCACGTGGAGGCTGGCAGCTGGTGCCTCGGCCCGGGGTGGTTTCCAGGCCTGGCCACGGCCACGGCCACGCACTGAGCCAGAGCCGGGCCCGCCTTGTCCGGGCCCCTTTCTTCTGAGGGGCTCTGAGGCTGGGAGCGAGCAGGGGGCTGCTTGGGGGGTGGGGGGGATGAGGGGCTGTTTCATCTGATGTGGACTGAGCACTACAGTGTTTTTCTGTGGGTTGGTGGTTTTGATTTGCACAACGGAACAGGGATGAACCGCCGGTGATGCCTTGGCCCCGCCCAGGACGTGTGGTCGCGGGCGCGTTAGGGCCCGTGATGGAACACGGTAGAGACCACGCAGCCATCGGCCCCGCGCCGGAGCCGTGTGCCCGGGCCGCTGCCTCCGCGCTCAGACGCACCAGGCCGGCCTGCCCGTGTCTGGAGGAGAAAGGACGGGTCTCGTGGCGCCCGCGGGAGCCCCTCGAGGGCGGGGTGGCCACATTCCCCGCGATCGGCCCTCGGGGCAGAACCGGCCGAGGGGGGCCAGGGAACCGCCCCGCTTTCTGTGCCAGTTGTCCCTCGGTGTGTCTGCCGAAAGGACCCTGTGCCATGTGTCTGCGCGAGGTGTGTGCCGTGGGTCGGCAGCGGGCCTGCCTGGGGGCGCGGGGTCCTCGCTGGGTGTGCACCTCCGTGTCTTGGTGCCTCTTCGGGGCCCGGATCACCAGGGAACTGCATTGGGCTCCCAGGGTGACCTGAGCGTGGGGGCCTGGGGCACCCAAAGTATTCATTTCTCCCAGAGGGAGCAGTGTGCCAAGCACCCCAGAGCCGGGCGTTTCCGGAACCCCGGGGATTCGCAGAGGGTGCGAGACCAGTTCTATGCCAATGCCGGCGGGGGGGGCCCCCTGTGTCTGCACCCCTCCCCCGCCCCTCCTGTGAGGTTTGTTTTTGTTTTATACCCTGGTGAACTTTCCAGATTGCTGGCCTCACGCCCTTCCCCCTGTGTCAGATTCCGGAGGGGAGACCCCTCCCCTGTCCCCCCCCCCGCCAGTGTGCCAACGCCCCCCCCCCCCCTCGTGGCCGCACAGGGAGCCTGGGGCAGGGGTCGCGGGCTCTCTCTGGTTGTACTTGTATATTACACAGTCCTGATTTCAGACGATTTAAACCTTAACCTATTTTAAAGAAGAATATTATATAAAAATACTGTTTTTAAACCTTTTGTCATTTGAAATGCATGTATTGTGCGCGCTGGGGGATGGGCACATTAGCTCAGTGCCAACGTCCTGGGGCCAAGGCTGCCAAGCTGAGGCGGGCTGGACGGCAGGCTTTGCTCGACGTGTCGGGGCCCTGACCCCTTAATCCAGAGATACCTGATGGAAATTGACTTTTCATATCTTTCTCCTGAAATGAATTCTGTTTTAAATTGGAATAAATTCTGTTCCTAAATGCTGTGGCCCGCTCTGGCTTATTTCCTGTTGCCAGCCGTGGTGGGTGGTGGGCAGTGCAGGGGTGCCGAGGGCCTCTGGTGCCTCCGGCTGAGACCCCAGCACCTTCAGCCCGGTGTCCAAGCTCATGGGACGCGTGGCCACAGCTGCCGCAGGATACGTGCCCCTGCCCCGGGCAGCGACCGGGGCCCCTGCTCTGAGGGCCTCTTACTAGACCCTGACTTCCAAGTTCATTGGCCTGTGCTGCCGGGCTAGAGCCTCCTGTGAGGGCAGCGCCTCCTACCTGGGGGCAGGGGACTGAGGAGCCAGGTTCTGGGCCAGGCTTGCCGCTTGCTGCGGGTGTGGACCTGGGGAGCACGTCCCCTCCCCCACCTGTAGTAGGTGGGTCTCCGCAGCCTCCCCTCCAATGGTTTTCCTTTCTAGCAACAAACTATAGAAATGATCCCTGAAGTATAGTCTTACGTTTTTCCTTTCTAAAAAATGGTAAGTGCACATAAATGTACCATTTACGGGGCGCCTGAGGGGCTCAGTCAGTTAAGCGCCTGACTCTTGATCTCCGCTCGGTCTGGATCTCAGGGTCATGAGTTCAAGCCCAGCACCGGGCTCTGCGCTGGGCATAAAGCCGCCTTGAAGGAAATGTACTGTTTAGCCCTTTCTACTTGCTCAGCTCAGAGGTATCAAGCACGGTCACACTGTCGTGCACCCACTCCTCCATCTGTCTCCAGAACTTTCCATCTCCCCAAACTGAGACCCTGTTGCCAAGAAGCACCGGCTCCCCACCCTCTGCCCCACCCCCACCATCTACTCCCTGTCTCCGTGGACGGGACTGCTCTAGGGCCCCCATGGGTGGGGTCACGCAGGACGCGTCCTGTGTCTGGCTTCTGTCACTGCGCACGGTGTCCTCCGGGTCCGTCCACGCGGTGGCAGGTGGCGGGACGTCCTTCCTTCCTGGGGCTGGGTGATCATTTTACAAACGGGCCACTTTCTGCTCTACTGTCCGTCGGTGGGCACTCGGGCTATTTCCACTCCTTGGCGATTGGTAATCACGCTGCAGTGAACCTGGGTGTGCTTTCCGGCTTGATTACACGGCCACACGGGGAACCGCAGGAGCACGGTGTTAACTTTCTGAAGAACCACCAGCCCGTTTCCGCAGCGGCGCGCCCATTTCACACTCCCACCGGCCGTGTCCAAGGCTCTCAGTCTCCGCATGGCCTCCCGTTCCACGGACTTGTTCATCAGGGACAGGCCTGGAAGGCTCCTCTGCCAGGTCCCAGCCACCGCGGATATAGCATAGGAGGCAGCACTTCTCACCAGGACTTAATCTATGAAGAAAAATAGAGCCGGGGAGCAGGATGGGGAACGACCATACACGCGAGAAGGAAACTACAGGCACAGGGCACAGCCCATGCAAACGTCCTGGGGCAGCAGCACTGGGCTCACATGTTGGAGGAAACAGTGAGAAGGCCTGTGTGGCTGGAGCAGAGGGGACGAGGCGAGAGAGGGAGGAGGGGAGGGCAGGGAGGGGCGAGGGCGGGTCGTGGAGGGCCTTGAGAGCCTCGGGGAGGACTAGGGCTCTTCCCCTCCCCCCGGGGAGGTGAGAGTCCAGGAGGGCTGCGGGCCTTGGGGGGCCAGACCTGAGTCGGCTGCTCACGGGCGCCCTCTGGTGGCCGCCGTGGGGAGGACGGGCTTGGGAGGAAGAAGGCCGGAGCCGGGGATCCACGGCGGAGGGCACTGCTCTGGGGTCCCCGCGGGCGGGCGTGGCGGGGGCTGCCCCAGGTGGGGGCAGAACAGGGCGCAGGATCCAGGAGGTGGGTGGCGGGGAAGAGAAGGCCCCGCGACGCAGCCGGCGCCCCTGGGCGTCATGCCCGCCGCGTCCAGCAGGGGCCGCTCTCAAGCTCGCTGGCCTTCGCGCACACCCGCAGGCTCCAACGCGCATTTCCCGCTCTGACGGGGAAACCAAGGCACGAAGTGGCCGGTCCCTTGCCCTGACGGTAGGCAAGCCCTTGCCACACAGGGGCAGCAGCCGCGGCCGGTCCAGCGAGGCGCGGGCAGGAGCTAAATGAAACCACAGGCAGGGCCTTTGTGTAAAAAGACTTTTTTTAAGGAGAATTTCAAGACGGGAAACCCGCAGAGCCGGGTGCCTACGCCCACGAAGGCGGCCCCGCTGACCGGTCGATGGAAACCTGGGGCCGTGAGTGATGCCGCTGTGAACACAGGTATGCAAGTACCTGAACAGTGCTGGCCGTTCTCCTGGATAGAAAACCTGCAGTGGAGACTTTCTCATCTTATCCAAAGAAGTGACCAGTTAAAAGCTTTGTTATCCCAGCATTGACTTCGGGCCTTTGCTGGGGGCGGGCAGGACCTTAGGTGTGGCCGAGGCGGGGGGGGGGGGGGGGGGGGGGGGGGGGATGGAACGGACACAGCCTTGCGAGAGCTCACAGGGGCAGCAGGGGGGGGTGGGGAGGGGTGTAAGTGGCTCATGTGCTTTGGCCAAAGCTAGTCCTGGGAAACCCCTTCTAGCAGGCAGTTCCCCACTCAGGTGTCTCTCTGCAGAAAGTCATTCCGATGGTCACCAGGTGGCGTGTGCCGGATGTCACTGCAGCCCCAGGCTGAAATTTAACCGGGGGCCCCTCAGCGGTACCAGGGTGGCCGGCGCAGCCTGGGGACCGTGGCTAGTGACCCTGCACCGCACATCTGAACGTGGCTCAGAGTAGATCTTAGAAGCCTCCATCCCGGGAGAACAAAATGTCGCCACCTGCGACTGCAGGTGTTAACTAGACCCATTGTGTGATGGTTTCACGATGGGCGCGAATGTCGGACCATCGTGCTGTACATCTGAAATGAATGCAAAATTCTGTCTGCTTAAAATAGGTGAGCACTGGGTGCCTGGGTGCTCAGTCCGTTGAATGCCTGACTCTTGATCTCTGCTCAGGTCATGATTCCAGCGTCATTGCTTCCTCTCTGCCCCTTTCCCGCTCGTGATCTCTCTCTCTGTCTCTCTCTCTCTCTCAATCAGTCAGTCAAAAGACTGTCATCTCTCAGCTGAATTGTCGTTGTTTTTACCAAAAGTCCCATCACCATATTGATGTGACTCTGCGGTTGATGGTGGTGTTTCCAGAGGGGTGTCCACGTTTTGAAGCGGATTTGTGGATCTGTGGATTTCTCCTTTCCCGCCTTTCATATCTTGCTTTTCTGTGTCTCACGCATACATGCTGAGATCGCCGTGTCCTCTGTGAATTGATTCGCTTATGTAATGTCCTTCCTTGCCTCCTTGCTGTTCTTTTTTTTAATGTATTTAAATTTAAGCTAGGTTTTGGGGCGCCTGGGTGGCTTAGTCGGTTAAGCGTCCGACTTTTGCTTAGGTCATGATCTCGCGGTTCATGGGCTCGAGCCCCGCGTCGGGCTCTGTGCTGACTGCCAGCTCAGAGCCTGGAGCCTGTTTCAGATTCTGTGTCTCCCTCTCTCTCTGACCCTCCCCTGCTCGCGCTGTCTCTCTCTCTCTCTCCTAGAAATAAATAAAAATATTTTAAAAAATAATAATAAATTTAAGCTAGGTTTTAAAAATTTACGTATTTACATTCAACTTAGGTTCTAAAATTGTATTTATTTTTTTAAGAAAGCAACACTTTAATTTTTACTGTTTGTTTATTTTTGACAGAGAGTGAGTGAGCAGGGAAGGGACAGAGAGAGGGGGCCAGAGGATCTGAAGCAGGCTCCGGGCTCTGGCTGTCAGCACAGAGCCCGACATGAGGGTCGAACTCACGAACTGCAAGATTATGACCTGAACTGAAGTCGATGCTTAACTAATTGAGCCACCCAGGCACCCCTACATTTTTTAAAATTTTTTTAATTTTTATTTTTTTTCATTTCTAGGAGAGAGAGAGAGAGAGAGAGAGACAGAGCGAGCAGGGGAGGGTCAGAGAGAGAGGGAGATACAGACTCTGAAACAGGCTCCAGGCTCTGAGCTGTCAGCACAGAGCCGGGCACGGGGCTCAAACTCACAAACCATGAGATCATGACCTGAGCTGAAGTTGGCCGCTTAATGGACTGAGCCACCCAGGCGCTCCTTAAGTTAGTATTTAAAATTTATTTAAATTCAAGTTTTTTCTTTTTTAATTTATTTAAAACAATGTTTTAATGTGTATTTGTTTTCGAGAGAGAGACAGAGCACCAGTGGGGGAGGGGGAGGGAGAGAGGGAGACACAGGATCTGAGGCAGCTCCAGGCTCCGAGCCGTCAGCACAGAAACCAATGCGGGGCTCAAACTCAGAGCTGCGAAATCATGACCTGAGCTGAAGTTGGACGCCCAACCGATTGAGCCACCCAGGAGTTCCTGAATTTATTTATTTAAATTCAAGTTTGTTTTTTTAACTTTATGTCTTTAAATTCAAGTTAGTTTTAAGACTATACTTTCAGGGGTCATTTCTATAGTTCGTTAAATTCAAGTTAGTTTTTAAAATTTATTTAAGTTCAAGTTAGTTTTTAAAGATTTGTTTATTTAAGGGGCGCCTGGGTGGCTCAGTCGTTAAGCGTCTGACTTCAGCTCAGGTCCTGATCTCCTAGCTTGTGGGTTCAAGACCTGTGTCGGGCTCTGTGCTGACAGCTCAGAGCCTGGAGCCTGCTCTGGATTCTGTGTCTCCCTCTCTCTCTGCCCCTCCCCCACTTGTGCTCTCTCTCTCAAAAATAAACATTAAAATAAATAAAAATTTGTTATTTAAGTTCAAGTTAGGTTTTTTTTAATTAATTTTTTTGAATTCCACTTCCTTGCTTTTCTTTACAAATGTACAGCTGAATTAAGCTACCCTAAAATTCGTGTTTTCTTTTCTCCATTTTTGAACTTTATGTGAGTAGGGTTGCACAAGACGAACTGTGGTGAGCCGTTTCTGTCTAGCACTCGGCTCACTCTGTGTGACACAGAATGCTGCGTGTCCCTGTGGTCGTTAGTCCTCGCGGCCGCCGCAGTGTTCCTTCGGACGAATAACCCAGTCTATTCATCCGTTCTTTTGTTTTTCTTAGCAGTATTTTATGCTTAACTATTTTTTTTAACTGTTTATTTATTTGTTTTTGAGAGAGAGAGAGGGGGAGACAGAGAATCCCACGCAGGCTTCGCAGTCAGCACAGAGCCCAAAGCGGGGCTCGAACCCACGAACCGTGAGATCATGACCTGAGCCGAAGTCGGACGCTTAACCGACTGAGCCACCCGGGGCCCCAGAACCTCCACTTTCATACAGGAATGAACTCCACGTGGGTCATAGCTCTAAATGTTACATGTAAACCAATGAAACCCCCAGAAGAAAAGATCAGGTTTGCCCAACAATTCTCAGATGAAACACCTCAGCTAAAATGCCAAAGACCTAGACCATAAAGTTAAAAAAATTGATACATTGAACCATCATCGAAATTTAGAACCTTTGCTCCAGGAAAGACAGTTAAGGGGATGGAAAGCCAACCTGCGGCTGGGAGAAAACATCTGCCAGCTTCATGCCCATAAAGGACTCGCGTCCAGCCCGCACAGCGAATTTTCTAAACATGGCGATAGGAAAACGAGGCACTAAAAGGCCAGCCGCTTCACCAAGGAGCACACACGGATGTCGCATGCATGCACACGAGTGTTCAAGGCCGCCGGTCCATCAGGGAGACACAGACGAGATCCGTAATGAGACGCACACGCCTTAAAATGGCTAAAATTAAAAATACTGACAATACGCAGTGCTGGCGTGGATACAGAGCAATTGGACCTCTCATTCATCACTGGGGTGCGGGGGGGATGCACACTGGTGCTGTCACTTGGGAAACTGATCGCAGTTTCTCGCAAAGTTAAACAGCTACCCTGGCCCTCCTAGGGATCTGACCCAGAGAAATGAACACGGATGTTTGCACGAGCCCTGAACACGCGTGTGGGTGGCAGCGCGGCTGGTGATCGCCGCGCCCTAGAATCAGCCCTGATGTGTCCTGCGGATGAGCACCGCTGTGGGGGCCCCACAACCGCTCAGCAGCCGGAAGGAACGGCCCCCCGTGCACCCCCAGCTTACAGCTGGGTCTCAAATGCTCGGTGAGAGGAGCCAGTCTGAAAAGCCACGTAATACAGGATTCCTTTTGTGTGACCTCGGGAGAAGGATTTCAGAAATCACAGCAACAAAGATCAATGGTTTCCGGGGGGGCTGGGGAGGAGGCGAGGGTCCGACCACCACGGAGTGAAGCACATTCCGTCGGGTGATAACTTACACGGTTCTGTGCTGTCGTCCACACGCCCCAGCCGCCCGCCAACGAAAGGGACGCCGCTGTCACGTACATTTCAGGAATGAAAAGCAAGATAAAGCCAGGGGCGCTCGGGGGCTCAGTTCAGTTGAGCGTCCGACTTTGGCTCAGGTCATGATCTCACTGTTCATGAGTTTGAGCCCCACGTCGGGTGAGTTTGAGCCCAGCTTTGGGCTCTGCATTGGCAGTGCCGAGCCTGCGTGGAATTCTCTCTCTCTCCCTCTCTCTGCCTCTTGCTCACTTGCGCCCTTTCTCTCTTGGAAAGAAAGAGAGAGATTGAAAGAGAGAGGGAGGAAGAAAAACAAGATAAACCTCATTACCAAAAAGCACTCCCCAAACACAGAAACAGCGAGGAGTCAGAGCAGGGGGGGGACCATTGGGCACCTCCTGGGGCTGGCGAGGTGGTCAGTCTTCACCCGCGTGCGGATCAAGTAGGTGCAGATTTCACAAGAATTTATTAGGTCATATTTTCATGCTGTGTGTGTGCGTGTGCATGTGCGTGTGTGTGCGTGTGTGTGTGTGTGTGTGTGTGAAATATATATGCATAAGCTCGCCCTGCTATTCCCGAATGAAATGAAACGTGACAGGTCCTGATGGCGCCTGGCACGGGCTGGGGGCGGGGGTGGGGGCTGCTCTCGGGTTAAGGGAACTGAAAGGGAGATTTATTTTGAAGCTGGAGAAAGGCACGGGGAGGCCAGGGTGCTGGGGGGGGTTGAGAGGCCTGACCGCTTCTCCGAAGCCAGAGCGCGGGAGCCGCGACACTACGGCCCCATGCTGCCTGGGTCCCGCCGCCGTGGCGAGCTGGGGGCCGCTGTCCCTCGGGGGCCTGGGCCTGGTGCTCACGTCCGCGCCCTGGGCCGTGACTCAGCCTGGCCTCCCAGTTTTTGCCAAGCTGGTCACTTCTGTCCGCTGTTCCCTTGCTCTGCGTGGCTCAGGCCTATTTCTGCTTTTCATCTGCCCGGAGAGTGGAAGTCACTCAGGCCTCGGGCCTTGGAGAGCACCTCTCCTCACAGCCATCCGGGTGTGGGTGGGAGGCGGGGGAGGGGGTGAGCAGGACAGAGGCTACCAGCCCCAGTGACCCAATGGGGGCCCCTATCCAACTTCCCATCTGTCGTTCGTTATGAATCAACGGCAAAGAAAACCACACGGTCTTCCCAGTGGGGGCGTCGGTGTGTGTTGTGTGGGTATGGTGGTTGCTGCTGTGTGACCCCAGGCACATCACTCGCCCTCTCTGAGCCTTGCTAGTAAGTACCCTCTGAGAAGTGTCTCCAATTATGTGGATCTCCAGGGGGAGGGCGTTTCCAGAACTTTCTAGAGCCTTCTAGAACCTCACAAAGCGAGGTTTCTACCCTCAAGCGGGGCAAAGATCTGCTGGATTGGAGACAAACTCAGGACCTCCCCTCTGGCTGTGAGTGTCCATCTGGAAAGCGGCCATGTGTCTCCATCCTCTTTCTAGGGTCCCAGGGGCCCCAGGGGTAGGGCCAGGTGGCCCCAGGGCCCGGTCGGGACAGTCCCTGAACTGTTCAGCCCTCCCGGGCCCAGGCTGCGTGTCCAACTCCTCCTCCTGGTGACCTTCTTTGACCCCTATTTAAAACCCCAACGTGCCCTACCCCTGCTCAGAACGAATCACCGCCCAACAGGCGCGAATATTCTTTAGAAATGTATTTCCTTGTCTGTGTCTGATTAGCATGTGGGGCTTAGAGGCCGGAGCTGTCGGCCCTTCGTGCCCTGCTGTGCCCGGCACTGGCCCAGGCGCACAGCTGCCGCTCAGCCCTCGCCTGCAGGGGGAAGGCGGCCCCTCCCCGGAGCTGCCTGGTCAGCGGTGAGAGCCTGGGGCCCTGTCTTGTCCTTCTGCCTGGCGTCCGGGCAAGTCACTTCCTGGCTCTGTGCCTCAGTTTTCGCATCTGCACATTGGGGATGACGGGAAGTCGGCAACGCGTGCCTGAGGGAGCCCCCTGGCTTTCATCAGGTTTTGAAAAAGATGGTTATTGGCATTGTGATGACCTCCTAAATGGCTCAGGGGAGAGGAGAAGGGGTGCGCCTGGGGCCAGCCTGGAGGCGGCATCAGAGGTCCAGGGAGGATGGCATCCACCCCTTCTCCAGAATGAGGAAGGAGGGCCCAGTGGGGCGCTGCGGGGAGCAGACTGCAAACTGCGGTCGGGCCCTTCCTCCCGGCACCCCGCCCTCCCGGGGGGGTGGGGGGGGGCGGGCACCCGCCCTCAACCAGTTTGGCAGGGCAGGCCGGGTCTGGAGCTGGGCGGGGAGCCCCGGGCGCCTCCTCCCGCCCCCACCCGCCCGCGCTGGGCACTCAGGCCGCGCTGAGCCGGGCGCCGGGTGCCCGAGGCCGGGGAGCCAGGGGTCCCCGGGGGTGACCCCCGAGAAGGGTGCGCAGGCCCGGTGCGCCCGAGGGCCAGGAGCCCTCCCAGGGCCGTCCGGGCGGGGCGCCCTCCCCGGGGCCGGGGCCATGCCGCCTGGCGCCCGCTGAGCCCCCGCCATGGCCCGCTCGCTGGCCTGGGGCTGCTGCCCCTGGTGCCTGACCGAGGATGAGAAGGCGGCGGCCCGGATCGACCAGGAGATCAACAAGCTCCTCCTGGAGCAGAAGAAGAGGGACCGCGGCGAGCTGAAGCTGCTGCTCCTGGGTGAGCCGGCGGCCGGGGCTGCAGGGGCCGGGGCCCCACGGGGACGGGCCGGGGGAGCCTGGGAACCCGCTTCGGGCCAGGCAGCTGAGGCCCAGAGAGATCCAGGCCCTCGCCCCAAGGTGTGGGCAGGGGGCCGGCCTGGCGGCCGGAAGGGCCTGTGCAGGGGTGAGGTGGCCGGGGCGGCAGGCCCAGCACACCCTGCCCTGCCCTGCCCTGCTTCGGGGACGGGAGCGATGAGCTCCGGCCTCGCCCGCAGCCCGCTCTCTCCGCCCCACGCGGCGTGGGGCCCGGGCGCAGGGAGGACCCGACCCCCGAGGAGCGGGCGGAGCCGCGGGCTCGGACCCACCGGCTGACCGATTGATTGATTCATTCGATGTCTTGGGTAACTGTGGGCCGGCCCAGCGCGGGGAGACGGCCTGTCCCTGCCACCGCGGCCCGCGTGGTGCCGAGAGGGAGGCAGACGTCAGCCCGTAGCCCAGTCAGCAGAGAAAATAATTTCCGGCAGCAAGAAGAGCGAGGAGGAAAACAAAACAGAGGGTGGAAGGGAAGGGCGGTGGGGGCGGCAGGCTGTTAGGCTCCGAGATTGTGGCCCCCGGACCTCAGAGTCTGGTTCCCAGCGTGTGTCCACTACCCCCCAGGGGGCCCTGCCGGCCTCCCCCCAGCGCCCCAGGGGTGCCAGCCTTGGAGGGCGCCCGGGACTTCCTGACCCCTGGGTGGGGGCACCGGGGACGGCCACATCTGCGTGCCCTGGGCCCGGGGGCTGCCCGTCTGTATGGCGGCCTCGCTCTGCCCCGGCTCCGAGGGCGGGGCCCTGGGGCTGTAGAGGCCTGGGATCCCCGAGGTTGCACCTTAATCAGGACCCTCCTAACTCTGGTCCTTTATGTAAAAGACCCCCCCCCCCATTCAGTTTTCCAAGGAACCGGGTGGGGGGACGGTCTCAAGGGCAGATGGTGGCCCAGCAGCTGGCCTCCCAGACCCCGGCTCCTGCTACTTCCTCCCGCGGTCCGTGGGCGCAGGTGCTCCCTTCTGCCTTCTTTGCTTTTCATCGATTATTTCATTTTCCTTAAACTTTGGTACAATAATCAGTAAGGCTATCTGAGCCCGGAAGGTTTCCATGAAGAATTTAATTACTTGGGGCGCCTGGGTGGCTCAGTCGGTTGAGCGTCCGACTTCGGCTCAGGTCATGATCTCACGGTTCGTGGGTTCGAGCCCCGCGTCGGGCTCTGTGCTGACAGCTCAGGGCCTGGAGCCTGTTTCAGATTCTGTGTCTCCCTCTCTCTCTGCCCCTCCCCTGCTCATGCTCTGTCTCTCTCTCAGAAATAAGTAAAATGTTAAAAAAAATTTTTTTAAATAAACAGTTAAAAATTCTTTTAAAATAATTTAATTACTTGAGGCACCTGGGTGGCTCAGTCGGTTGAGCCTCGGACTTCGGCTCAGGTCATGATCTCACAGTTCATGAGTTCAAGCCCTACATCGGGCTCTGTGCTGTCAGCCTAGAGCCTGCTTCGGACCCTCTGTCCCCACCCCCCTCTGCCCCTCCCTGGCTTGCGCTCTCTCTCTCAGAAATAAATAAAATATTTATTAAAAATTAAAAAGGAAATTAATTACTTTAATTGCTCTTTCCAGCTGATGTCTTCACTATTACATGAATCGTATGTATAGCATGTGATGCAGTATTGATGACTTTTTAATCATATTAATCGATTATTAGGGCTACGTAGGCTATCTGTTTCTTCTAGGGTCAGTTTTGCCTATCAGTGTCTTTCAAAGAACTTGTCCATTTCTTTGAAGCTGTCAAAGGTTTGGGCATCAGCTGTTTGCCACGTTCCCTCGTCCAGAGGGGCGTGCGGAGTAGTGGCCCGTCTTTCATTCCGTCTGTCTGCTTGCTTCTTCTCAGTCCATCAGGTGCGGAGGTTTATCAATGCTGGCGATCTTTCCTCACACACCTCGTTTATGTATCCGAACCTCAGGGCCTTTGCACTTGCTGTCCTCCCCACCAGCGGCTCTCAGCCTCACCCGCGCCTCCACACGGCTGGTGCTGTCACTCAAGGCAACACAGCTCATGTGTCGCCTCCACAGAGAAGTCTTCCTGGATTCCCTGACTACATAGACAGCCCATCCCTCTCCTTCCTCCGCCAGATCTTTCTTCAGGGCAGTTACTCACTGACACTCTGTAGATCCGTTTACTTGTTCTTTCTTGTCTGTGTCTCTAGTCACATGGCAAACGGCACGAACGTGGGGGCTGTGAGTCCCTTGTTCATGCTTCTGCCCCCAGTTTCTGGCCCGGGGAGCACAGTGAACCCGACAGAGAGCGAATGAATGAATCCTCTCTCCGGGGCGCCTCTCCCTGGGGCTCACCACGTCTTTCCAGAGCTGGGAAGATCCCCTGCCCCGCGCCATGGGGACCACTGCCCAGCCTGCCCCAAGTCAGGAAGCCCCTCTGCCGGTGTGAGGGGGGATGGGTTGTCCGTGTCCCCAGGTGCTGATGGTGGCCCTGCAGACCGTGCTGCGGACTGTGGTTCTGACCCCCCCCCCCCGCCGCCCCTGGCCCGTGGGTTGCCTCCACACCCCTCTCCCTTCTTGAAAACAGGAATTGAAACCAAAAGTTATTTTTTTCCCTGGAGATGGCTGGCCTTTTGAGGAAGCAGGCTGAGGGGCCGGGAGCCTGGCCCCGACAGGAAGCGATTGGCGTGCTAGAGAACGGGGGGTGGGGGGGACATCACAATGAAGTCGTTAAAGGAGCCAGCTCTGTCCACGGAGTCTGAGGTAGATACAGCTCCCAGCCCCAGGTGGGGAAACCGAGGCCCAGAGAGGCAATGTGATTTGCCCGAGGTCACACAGCGGGGATACAAATCTGCAGTGCCCAGAGCCCACACGTTTGACCTTCCTGTGACAGATGGGGAAACTGAGGCCCAGGAAGTTGACAGGATTGGTCTGGGGTAAGCAGCCAGTCTGAGCCAGAGCCGGACCTAGAAGCTGAGCCCCTTACCTTCCAGCTGCCCGGGCCCAGCTCCCTGTGCCCCAGCGGCCACGTGTCCTGGGGCGTCGGACGGACCTCTGGGCCGCCATCTGCCAGAGAAGGAGCCACACGGCCTCTCCCACTGTGGGGGGTGCTTCAGCTTCCCCTTCCTCATCCCCCCCCTTCCTCATCCCCCCCCCCCGGGAGGAAGCAGGCACTTCCCTTCTGGCCCCCAGGCGGGAAGAGCTCTCCCTGCAGCCCCCAGCCCCACCTGGGCTCTCCCCCTGCAGACCAGGAGCCTGGGGCTGGAGAAGTTCCGGAACCCTCAGCGCCTTCAGGACAGTCATGGGCTGCAAAGAGGGGCTGCCACCCAGCGGGATTTTCAGACTTCGGGCTGCGACCCGTTCATGAGTCACAAAAGCCACGCGGTGGGTGGCGCGCAGCATTTTTTTGGTTTTCCTTTAACGACACAGGAGAGAAGAAAATCAGGGCCCCGCGACAAACTTAGGTGATCCTCAGTGTGACCTTTGACTGTTCCCCACATTTCTGGGGGAGACCCCAGGTCTGAGAGCGGGAGGGCTAGCGGGAAGGAGGTCAAAGGGCGCGGCCCCCTGCACTGGGCTCGGGCCCCCTTCCCGCAGCCCCCCAGGAGCTGTCCAGCTTCCCGGTGTCTGCGGATACGTGCCGTGAATGACGTTGGTGGCCCGGGGCTCTGACGCCGCGTGACCCAGCAGGCTGGCCGTGGCCCCTTCTGTGGATGCAGGACCCACAGGGCTCAAGTTTACCCCCTGCTTCTTGCTAGCTGTGTGACCCCAGGAAAGTCACCCCACCTCTCTGATTCCCAGGTGTCTTCTGCAAATGGCAAACCAGTGGGGGTCTTTGCGAGGGTTGGCTGAGGGCCGGATGGAGGATTTCGGCCCAGACACCGAGAGTTAAATCCAGCTCGCGGTGACTGTCGATGGGGGGCAGCTTCCTGGTTTCATACCCATAACCCACGAGCTCTGCACTCAGGCAGAACGAGGTTCGAGTCCCAGCTTGGCCACTTACCAGCTGCGTGGCCCCAGGCAAGCCCGTCGGCCGATCTGGGCCTCAGTTTCCCCACACAGAGAGTGGGCCAACAGCCGCCCCTCTGCCAGGGGAGGCCCTGGCGTCCTACGTTACGGGAGCTCCACGGGCTGGGTGATCTCCGTCTCCGGGCCCCTCGGCAACAGGCTGTGGGTTGACGCCAGTGGCTGTGGCATCCGTGTGTCCCACCGCAGGGACATTCTGAAAGTCCAAGAAATTCCGTCATCTCAGACCCACAATGCTCCATGCCGGAGACTTTCAGGATGTGGACCCGGGGCATGGGTGGGGGGGAGACTTTATTTCGGCATAATTTTACATGTGCAGAAAAGGGGCGAAGGTAGTAGTTTCTAGCTACTGAACAGCTCCCCCACCCCCACCCCCCGGCGTCAACATCTTGTATGACCGCGGCGCGCCTGTCACCACGAGGAATTCCCTCATGACCCCACGACGGCGATCTGCTGGCTGCGCTCGGGCCCCGGGCAGCGACTGGCTTGCAATCCGTCCGGTCCAGTTTCCCACAAACATCCCCCATGGTGCGTCAGGTTTCCCTTCTGTTAACTTTTTAGCCCAAAACGCTTCCAGACCCATCGCACAGGCGCCCGGCTCTCGGCAGATGCTGACGTTTTACCGCTTTCCCTCTCTTCTCCGTCTCCCTCCCACCCTCGCTCCCTCTCCTTCCTTCCTTTTTTTTTTTTTTTTTAAAGTTTATTTATTTATTTTGAGAGAGAGAGAGTGAGCAGGGGAGGGGCAGAGAGAGAAAGAGGGAGAGCGAGAATCCCAAGCAGGCTCCGCGATGTCAGCGCAGAGCCTGATGCGGGGCTCGAACCCACAAACCGTGAGATCATGACCTGAGCCGAAACGACTGAGCCCCCAGGTGCCCCAAAGCAACTCCTTTTCTTGGACGTCGAGTCCAGGGGACTTAACCAACGCCTGGGGTCACCCCACGCCTGCCCTTGTTGCCCTCGGATAAATCGGGGACAGCTAGGGGACAGGGAGGTCCTGGGGAGCACCTCCTCTTTGTCTCTCCCCCCTGCTCCCTCTGGCTGTTTCCTCTTTCTGGGTCCCACCCCTTCCTTGCCTGCTGCTTCCGGTTCCTCCTTCCAGGCCCCCCTCCCGGGCCTGGAACGACCCCAGCCCAGTGTCCCCCAGGAGCTGGGCGGGGCAGGGAGCTCCGGCCGCGCACCTCCTGCCTGGCTGTCACGCTCATTTTACAGATGGGGAAACAGAGGCACAGAGAGAGATCCCAGAGCTCAGGCCGCAGGGAGCTGAGCCCCTCTGAGCTCCCGGCCCAGGGCTATGGGACACCCAGTGCTGCCGTCACAGCCCACGGCTGGCTTCTCTGGGCGCGGGGCCTGGGTGCTCCCATGGCGCCCGGGCTCGGAAGGGCTCCGTCTTGAGCTTGGCCCGTGACCTGTGTAGGTGGCCCCGCGAGGACCCCTGTCCGCACTCTGGTACCTCAGCAAGGGCTTGTCAGTCCGTCCCCCAGATGCGTCTCCAGGGCCCCCATCTTCCCACGGGGCCCGGCCCTCGTCATCACTCACCTGCTTCGGCCCCGGCCCCTCGGCTCCTGCCCTCGCCCCACAGTCTGTCTTCCCTGCAGCCGCCACCACAGAGCGCCTTCGAGGACCTGGTCAGGTGCTCCACTCCCCACAGCCCTCCAGGGCTCCCCCTCCCTGGGGTAAAAGCCCCAAGTCCTCCCCGTGGCCCCCCAGCCCCTGCAGGACCTGGCCTCCCCTCCTCCCTCTCTCCCCCTGGCCCCCTCTGCTCCGGCCAAGCAGCCTTTTTGCTCTTCCTCCAACACACCAGGCCTGGTCCTGCCCCAGGCCCTTTGCACAGGCTGTGCCGGTTGCATGATGTGCCCTTCCTCCAGGTCCTGACACAAGAGTAACCTTCCCAGCCTCAGATCTCAATTTCACAAGTCACCTCCTCTGAGAAGCCCTCCCTGACATCCACCTGTAGTCAACTAAAACGTATCTCTGTATCCTACCCTAGTTCCTTCATAAAAGCTTCTGTACCTGAAATCATCATAGCAAATAACGATAACAGTAATTCTAACTATAGTAAATGCTACTACTACTAATAGTGAACACTCAAGGAGCTCTTAACTGTGTCTACTCGTGCTTGAAGCCGGGGGTCCACAAACTTTTTCTGTGCAGGCGGAGAGTACAGATTTTCAGCCCTGCGGCCCAGACGGTCTCTGTTGTAGCCGGAAAACAGCCACAGACCGTCTGTACACAAATGGCCGTGACCGTGTGCCAATAAAACTTTATTCAGGGACGCTGAGGCAGGAATTCCATATAATTTCCACGGGTGATGACACAGTCTTTTTTCAAATTCCTGTCCATCACTTAAAAATGTAAATGGTTTTTTTTTAGCACAAAAAGCACTAGAGCTGTAGTGGAAACCCGAGGGCCACGCGGGACCAGGTTGCCGGCCGGAAGGCCCCCGCTGCATAGTTTGCCGACCCCTCCTGGGAGCCCCTCCTAGTGAACTCATTCACCCTCACGTAGAGCCCGCAGACGGGGCCTGGCAGCTGGGGAAACTGAGGCAAGGAGCGCACAGGTCACGGAATGGGATTTGAGCCCCGGAAGCCCCGGGTGGCGGTGGCCCCGGGGCTGAGCTGCTGTGTGTCCCCCCCCCCCCCCCCCCCCCCCCCCCCCGCCAG